TACACACACACACACACACACACACACACACACAAATAATATTTAAATAATTTCAAAATGTTAATTAAAATACCAATAAATAAATAACCAAAAAAATAAATATAATATACAATATAATAAAAATTAAATAAACACTGTCATGGCAACCACTAAGTTTAAGGCAGCTCTGATGCTGCATCACTTTACACAGAAGCAGCATCAGAGCCGCCTCTGCAAGTTTTATTCCTGCTTTTATGCTGCACTGGGTCTTTCCACAGAATTTGGAGCAGCTTTAACTCACTCAGTACAGGCGCTGCAAGAATCAAACAAGATCCTTCAGGATAAACTGAAATCAATTCTCAAAACAAACGGAGAGTAAAAGAGTCTCCGCGTATCCAGGCGGATCTTATTTGATTCTTGACTCTTGGCTAGGGAAGGCTCTCGGAAAGCCCTTATACAACAACTTTTCCTTAAAGGCGCATCGCTGGATTTGCAGGCTGCGCGTCAAATGCAGTAACTCTTGTTAAGGATGTTTCTCCATCGGCTCAGCTTTGAGCCTGACTCACTCCAGAAGGACTGAAGCTGTAATAAGCGCTAAAAGCCTCGAGTAAATGAGTAATTAGCGAGAGCACTTCCCTTCGTTCTTCATTGCGAAGCGGCGCTTTTACGCGCGGCTCAACGAACGCGTAAATGACTCTATCGGTCTCCGCTCGGATTTATGCTCGGGATATGTGGGATTCTACCGTGTGGAAGTGATTTGATGTGGATTTTGAGAGCCGAATGTTCGCCGACGAGTGGGACTCCATCGACTGGGAGGTCAGTCCGGTGCACCACAGCGGTTTATGCATCCAAACATGACGGCGAATGCGTGCTTTGTGCATCATATTAGGCTATTTATCGTGCATGAAAAATCAGTGTTTCTCGCATAATAGAGCTGGATTGAATCGAATTAGAGATGATCGATTCTGGTCGTGCGTGGAGACCTGAGTGGGTTTCTACAGTGAATGAAATGATGCTTTGAACTTGACGCGTTAAAGGAGGTGAAAGCGTTGCGTCGCCCGTTTGCATCGCGTGTTGTTTATCGTTTAGCTGTACATGCGTGTGTGTGTGTGAGAGAGAAAGAGAGAGAGTGTTGCAGTCACCACACCCGCAGTCCGCAGTGTTTGAGAAAAAGAGGCTTTCAATCCGTTCGCGACGCGCGTTTAAACGCTTTCTGAACGCGAGTGCGGTGTAAATTGGCGCTGCTGGGTTTGCGTTTGTGAACCTGTTGCGCTGCAGATGATCCAGTGTAGATCAGTGTGTGTGTTCTCCAGTGCTGTCGCTTTACACTGACTGTAATCTTGTTAAATGGTAGATTCTTGACTTGATGTAAATCAAAGGTGAATTGCTGGGATTCTAGCATCTGTCATCGTGCATCATATCATATGTGATGTGTTTAGATCATAAATGTATTTATAGGTGCTGTAATTTACTGTATCTGATTTTCTCATTGAAGTCTTTAATGAATCGATTACTTGCAACCATGTTTCAGATCTAACATCAGCTGCTTTCTTGATTTCTTGTCTGCATGCTTTCTTGCCTTTTCACAGTAGTATTATTCTACTCCATATCATAATCTGGTTTCTGAACCTGTTCCTCTTCTCCCAGATGTATTTTTAGTGTCGAGCATCAGTAGTTTTGTCATATTCTCCACAAAACTTGCTAAAATGTAATTGTGAACCTTTTTGTGCTATTTGCATAAAATGATTCAAATGAAATCTGGTTTCTGTGGTTGTTTTTGCGATGCCCAGACTTGCGTTTGTATCCCATTCTTACAGTTGATCCATTATCACAAAATATATTGAGCAAAATATTGTTAATTTTGAGAGATTATTTGATCATATTATCAATGCATCAGTATTCTAAGCCAATATTCTCACAATCCAAACAAGCCTTTATTAATAAAGCTTAAAGTAATCATCTGATAATTAAATATGTTGAGCTGGTTAAATTATTTTGCTGACTAAATACAAAATTAAGGTTCCATAAATGCTTTTACCCACATATCAAAAGTGCACAAATAATATCATTTGAATCATTTTTAAATGTTAAAATCTGTATCTAGAAACATGAAAAAACATAAGTCTAAATAAATATAAACAATTAAATAAGTGCACAAATAAAGTAATTTTAATATATATATATAAATGAATGCATGAATAATGTAATTTAAATAATTTTAAAATATAAAAAAAATGAGTCTATAAACATGAAAATACAGTTGTAAATAAAATATATATGTAAAAATTGAATAAGTGCATTTAAAATATAAAAATATGAATTTAGAAACATGAAAATACAAAGTAAATACAGTCCGTCACGGCAATCCGCTAAGTTTAAGGCAGCTCTGATGCGGCATCACTTTACACAAAAGTAAAGCAGCATCAGATGCACATTTTATTCCTTCATTTATGCTGCTTTGGGTCTTTAAGCGCAGAATTTGAAGCAGCTTTAACTCACTCAGGCTATATACAAAAATGAATCAATGGAGGAAGAGGATAGTTGTCAGGATGTGCAGCCCGAGGTCACTGTAGTTCAGATGCCTGTCTGCTGTCACGGAGCTCTGACATTTGGAAGGTAAATATCTGAAAGCGGTCACGACATCAACCCTTTGCAATGCAGCCGTTTTCTGTCCGTCTGCGGTAATGAGAGGAGAACAGCTTGTCTGGATTCTGCTGATGTCTTGAAGGTTGTTAAATGCACATTCAGCTTATATATATATATTTATTTATTTATTTATTTATTTTTTTTTTTTTTTAAATATGAATCTAGAAACCTGAACATACAAAGTTGTAAATAAAATATGGAAAATTAAATGAATGCATGAATAATGTAATTTAAATAATTTTAAAATATAAAAAAAATGCGTTTATAAACATGAAAATACAGTTGTAAATAAAATATATATGTAAAAATTGAATAAGTGCATTTAAAATATAAAAATATGAATTTAGAAACATGAAAATGCAAAAGTGTAAATAAATATAAACAATTAAATAAGTGCACAAATAATGTAATTTGAATATATTTTTTTAATATTTAAATATGAATCTAGAAACCTGAACATACAACGTTGTAAATAAAACGATATGGAAAATTAAATGAATGCATGAATAATGTACGGTAATTTAAATCATTTTAAAAGATTAAAAATGAGTCTAGAAACATGAAAATACAGTTGTAAATAAAATATATATGTAAAAATGGAATAAATGCATTTAAAATATAAAAATATGAATTTAGAAACATGAAAATACAAAGTTGTAAATACAGTCCGTCACGGCAATCCGCTAAGTTTAAGGCAGCTCTGATGCGGCATCACTTTACACAAAAGTAAAGCAGCATCAGATGCACATTTTATTCCTTCATTTATGCTGCTTTGGGTCTTTAAGCGCAGAATTTGAAGCAGCTTTAACTCACTCAGGCTATATACAAAAATGAATCAATGGAGGAAGAGGATAGTTGTCAGGATGTGCAGCCCGAGGTCACTGTAGTTCAGATGCCTGTCTGCTGTCACGGAGCTCTGACATTTGGAAGGTAAATATCTGAAAGCGGTCACGACATCAACCCTTTGCAATGCAGCCGTTTTCTGTCCGTCTGCGGTAATGAGAGGAGAACAGCTTGTCTGGATTCTGCTGATGTCTTGAAGGTTGTTAAATGCACATTCAGCTGTCTTTCACCTGGATGCCGTTAGACACCTGCTGCGGCTATTGATTTCACATTGCTGCTTCTTCGCTGCGTTCTGTGCATGAGAGAGCAGACAGAGATTGAAATCTCACAGCCACTGATTACTGCTTGTGTTTATCAGAATTACTTGACATGCCGTCTTTAGTGTTCGTAACGCAGCCTAGAAGACGAGAAATTGTTGAAATTCCGAGCTATATGTCATCTGCATAACAATAGAAGCCTAATGCAATGTTTCCTTAAGGAAGCTGTAAAATAATATATTTATTTACTCAAATAAAATGTGACCCTGGACCACAAAACATAAGGGTCAAGTTTTTGAAATTGAGATTTATACTGAATAAATACACTTTCCATTGGTTTGTTAGGATAGGACAATATTTGGTCGAGATACAATTATTTGAAAATCTGGAATCTGAGGG